CTGCACCTATCCAACTTGACCCAACTGTCACTGCATCTACCTCTTCTTAGATTTGAAACTCCTGATGATAAGAGCTTCCAGTTCCATATTTGCTCTACCTGTAGTGGAGTCTAGATCTGTTATATGACTAGTATATATAGCATACTAACCAGATACATCTAATTTTATTGATATATATATACATACACACACATATATATATGTATGTATTTTACATATTCAATTCTCTGCTCTGAATAAAATCGTATTTAGCATGGTGCATATTGAACAATTTTCTGGCAGGATGGAATAAGTGAAAGTCTTTTTAAAATCAGAGTCACGGTAAAGACAAATTTTTTGCATCTCTTTAAAAATTCAGTCTTTTGGTAGGTGACATCATTAGGACTGTGCTGAAACACAGAGTTAATGAAAAACTATTTCAAGGTTGATCTTTCAGAAGTACTGGATATTTACGCAGTATAAATAAAAAATTAGTTGTAAAAAATTGAGAGCAGTGTTAAAACCTGCACAATCTTTATAACAGCTGGAGGGACAGTCACCACCATTTTTAGTCTTGAACACTTCCTCTGGGAATCTGATTCTACCATGTGTAATGAGGCACATGCATGCAGGAGAAGGGGGTGATTTTAAGAGAATGTTCTCCTTTATGGTAATGCAAATACAGAATAACTTTCTTTACTAGATTTGAACTGAGACAAACTAGCATAACCCTCTCAAATCCCACATGAGGAACACACAGAAGGGTAGTCCTGGACAGATTCCCAGTTGCCTACAGCAGTGTTTCTCTTTTTTTTTTTTTTTTCTGGGTGGCAATCCAGACACTGTGTGTTTACTATAAGAGCAAAAATACATTCATGATAGCAGTGATAAGCCTGTATAATTGGAGTATGTATTTGGCCAGAGAAGACAAAATTCTTGAAGATAGTGGTGTTTTGAACCTATGGGAATTATGTGGGTGTTTTTTGTTGTTGTTGTTTTGTTTTTATCCAGACTCTTTAATGTTCTTTTTTCAGAGCTGGGAGCTGTCTGGCAGAACAACTTGGATTCCATGAGGTGCCACATGCCACCCTTTTCCACCAATCCTGGCAGTGGGAGGTGAGTCCTGAAGCACAGTGTGCGGACCTGAAGAAGGGGAAATGCTGCTGAAAAAACAGCTTTCCTGCCCTCTAAGTTTCCCCTGCTCCTCTGGGGAAGCAGATACAGTTCCCCCCAAAGCAGAAATGTATGTTAGCAGGATATTTTTTATCATTTTTTATATAAAATTTGTGCTCATGTTTATAGATCTTGATGGAAGTAACTAGGGAGATCTGCATCAAATCCTGCATATCTTTCCAACAAATATTTAACATCTGTTGTTTCTTGGAGAGTGTTTCTTTTTTTAAAAAATCCTAATTTAGTGGGTCTTGGCATACATTCATACTCTTGTGGGAAAGCACGTCCTATAAATAGGAGGTTTGGTCACTATCACACGGCAGTGGGGTCCCTTTTGCGAGGCTTCTTGTAACAATGCTTTCTGCTCCATTGGGTGAGATCCCTGAAATGCCACCCTGCTCATTGCTTGTGGTCTTGCTGAATCAGGGTCTTACATGACCATTCCAGCACATGTGATCAATTGTTGTAGATCATCCTAATCTATGAACAAAACATCTCCTAACTGTCTTAACTATGGGCAAAAGGCTGTTCTATGTGACTATTTCTGCATCTGCAGGAACAATTTCGATGACTATTTAGAAGTGTCTCATAAAAGTTGAGGTTGGCTGGTCCATCAGCAGGAACAACTTTGTGGGAGTCCCTAATGCAACCAGAGCCTCCACCCTAGGTACTAACACAAATGATGGCTAGAACAGTCCAAGCACAGCAAGAGGGAAGGGAATTTCCCAAAATGTCTCTTAGATCAGCTTAAGTTACAAAAGGATGACCTGATTTCTTTCTCTACATCATTTGCTTCAGGAGTTCCTTCGGTTGTTCTTAGGACTACCCATTGTGCAAGGGATGTTTTAGGGAGGAAAGGCTATAAAAACATCCTTTAATCTCACTTTCCTTTGACAAGATGAGCCCTGCTATGTTGTGTCTATTTCCACATGTTTTCTGCCCTTGCAGCATTACCAGGAGGACAAAGTAGCACAAAATCTTGTCTAGGAGGGTTCAAGTACTGCCTATCACAAACAGTAGGTACTTGCAGGTGATCAGAGTTCAGGTTTCAAGCCTATTGCAAGGATGCAAATTTAATGCAGTTATTGAACCCTGTTCCTGTTTCAGGTTCTGTTTAAAATCCAGCTTTGGATGTGGTGAACTATAGTTGAATTTGGCCTTAGTGCACGGACATGTTTGGATAAAATGTACCAACTCTTGTTGAGACTCACTGCTTGAGCAATGCACAGGATTCATGCTTCTTCTCTGATTTGCTTGGAATTCTGCTCAGAAGATTTTCCCAAACAGAAAAAAATTCAAAAATCGTATTCATTTTGGGAAACTTTGGAGGACACAAAGCTGTCCAACAGGTGAGTGTCCAGCAGAAGGAATCTAAGATCATAAACAAGCAGATCTCCTTTCTGTGCTTTCCTCATCCGTAGAACTCATAATTTCTCTCCTTACATCTTTGCCTATGATTGCATTATCACTAAAATTTCTGGAGTGGTGAGATACAGTGGGAATGAGTGGATGACAAGAGACCTTTTCAGTGGTCTGCGGCCTGGAGGAACTGGCAGCCAGTCATTAGTGGTGTATCTCAGGGACTGCTAGTGGGGCAAAACTGTTTAGTATCTTTATTAATGGTGAAGATGATGACAAAAAGTCCCATCTCAGTGAGTCTCTGGTAAAGCAGTTGATAGCCTTGAGGACTCAGCTGCTCTTCAGAGGGACAGGGTGGAGAAGTGGGCTGGTAGGCAGTTATGAAGTTTAGCAAATGGTCATTCTACGTGTATATAAGGGTTCCTTGATACAAGGAAAAGGTTATCCTCCAAAGACAGTCAAATATTAAAATAGTGGTCCAGAAAGTTTGTTGATCTATATCCTAGTAGGTACTGAGGTCTCAACCAGATGCAGTCTCGAGCATCTAACTTTACCACTAGCCATGAGTTCTGAGTAGGAGAATGGAAGACAGACCTTTACAAGTACTCACCTTGCTCTGTGATCTTGTGACTCTGTGTCAGCTGAAGAGAAGATGGGATTGGAAAGGATCTGTTCTAGCCACATCAGGTCACAGCAGAGACACTCTCCACTGTCCCTATCATTTTTGTCCTCCTTACTACTAGCAAATGGCAGAGAATGAGTAAGCAATAGACACAACCAAGTCCATCAACATTGTTTAGTGGCCTGGATCTAATCGACCTCCCACAGAAGCCCTCTGTAAGATTCCCTTCCCTATAATGGAGTGTTATGTAGGTCCCACAGAAACAGGAGGATTTTAAAAAACTTCAACTAAAAAACTTTCAGTTGGTGGAAAGAGTCATGAAAACTCAGCTTAGAATTGCCCTCCCCACTCTCCCTCTGCTCTCTGTCACATACACACACACTCACACATGAAACCACTTTTGTGGTATCTGCCATTCTGGTCTGTAGATAAATTAATCAACGTGGAGATGCGTGTTTACTGTCAATAAGGGAATGATACTCCGTTCATTACAGAAAAAAAAAACTTTTTTAAGTCTGCAAGGACACCATGGGAAAACAAGAAGGTTGACATTATAAAAGAAATGAAGCAATCAAAGAGTGTTCGTTTCAGTGACTTATGTTATTTTGTGACACTCATAATTCAGGACACAGTGTAGCTAGTCAAGCGTGATTAACTTCTTCTGGGCTCTGACATTGTATTCTCTTTTGAAGCAAGAACTGGAGTCGGCAATATACAGGAGAGAAAGCTGATCAATGGAAGCGTGCCATTACCTGAAAGAATATGGTCTTTTGATTCTCCTCTGTAAATGAACAAGTGTCTTTTGTTCCCAGAACAGAACAGTGACATAAAGGGCTTTGCACAGAATACTATTCAGAAGAAATTGGCATTATATAGCATGCTTGTAAGGAAAACAACAATTTGAGTAGGGGTTTCATTTATGCCCCAATCTCTACTAGAAACTCAGCAGGAAGGAAGGGAAGCACAAAAGATGCAAACAATCAGTCCCTTGTTAGGTGATACAGGACCTACAGGAACATGAGAGGCTGCACTTTTACTGAAATAATGTGGTAAAATAAACAGTGTGCAATACTGGAAGATGAATGGGAAGTTAATTCTGTTAGCATTTACAATATTTCAATAGCAATATTTTCTGAACAATTGTCCCTATTGATGCTGCAAGTGCTTGCACATTGGGCCTGCTTCTTGCTCAACAGATCTGAGACTGTTTGACCGGCTGTATTCTCTAATTGGACAAGGAAGGTTTCCAAAAGTGATGAAAGGCTCTATCTCATCTGTGATGAAACTGTTTGGAACCTAACTCATGCTGATTTGTTGTTGTTACTGCTGTACTGTTCTGTTGCCTTTTTTTTTTTTTCTTGTAGGATATCTGGGAATATTTATTATTTTAAGTGGCACGGTAACTAGAGGCCAAAGGTTAATAACTTCAAGTCTAGTACTTCTGTATTTTATCACCAGCTAGTGCTTATCAGAATAACAAAATAAATGGTTTAACAATGGTTTAACTCTACTTGCAAACTTCCTCTGTTGCATAAAAGATCCCTGTATACCTTCTTAGCTTAGGAGAGCACTTAGCTATGTTAAAATATTTGGAAATTAAGGAGCTAAAAAAAGAGAGAAAAAAAAAAAGAAATACACTTTCAAGTGAGATAGATTATTACTTGCATAATTAAAGGATTTTCTATACATAGGTGTGCCGTTCAGCAGTATGAACTCTCCATACTGTGAAAAAGCATAGCTATGCCAGCAATTAATAATTTTGACTTTAAACAAGGCAAATCTTTGTCCTGGACTGTGGGCCAAGTTTAACAGCATCTGTCTGGCTTAAAGGCCAATTCTTGCACCAGTTTGCTACAAAAATAGATTTACATTAATGCTGCTATTCCTGTGCATTTGCCTATTACTGTCTGTACACAAAGCTGCCTGATTTTCTCAATGTCTTGTGCTAGAAATGGGCCCCTCCTTGGCCACAGGGACAGCAGGCTGCTGGAAACAGGCCCAGGTGCTGGGTCCTCTGTGCTGTTGAACCAGATGCATCTGCAAAAAGTCTATGTCACAGCTAGCTTGGGATCTAAAAATTGCCATCAAAGCTCCATCCTCTTCCCTCATCCCTTCCTTCCGATGCAGCCCAGCCCTCCTTGAATTTGAAACTGTTGCCTCCAATTTCTTAGGTCTCCAGAGGCTTACACAAGCTCCTTGGAATTCAGTCCCATCTGTGGAGCTGCGTTGGTGGCTTAACCCTTGAGGGACACAGCAGGAAAAGGCACAAAATCTTAGGAGGGGATTTCTTAACTACTGGAATACTGTTCTTGAATTATGTCAAAGCAATAAAAAACCCACCAACCTAACATTTTTCCTGTCTCATTGTCATGGTCAATAACAATATCAAAACAACACCTTGTGTGAGGGCTGCTCCAAAAGAAATGCTTCACATTTTATTATGTTGGCCCACCATGTCAGAGGGAGATGTTGGTGGTTTAGCAGTAGAGTATGAATTTTCCTACCAATATTCCATTACAGGTTGTAGCCAAGCAAAAGTTCTTAACTATGAGAGTGGTGAGGTGCTGGAACAGATGGCCCAGAGAGGTTGTGGTTGTCCCATCCCTAGAGGTGTTCAAGGCCAGACTGGATGGGGCCCTGGGCAGCCTGGTCTAGTATTGAATGGGGAGGTTGGTGGCCCTGCCTGTGGCAGAGGGTTGGAGATACATGATCCTTGAGGTCCCTTCCAACCCTGGCCGTTCTGTGATTCTGTGATTCTGTGAACAGATGGCAGCAGAGAGGCAAACTAACAAAATGATATTTGACATGGAAGCGTGTATGAAGAAAAGGTGTGGAAAAATTGCACCCACTGTCATTCATTGACATTTATTGAATGCTTATGGAGACCAAACAGTGTATGTCAGTGTTTCAGTTGTGGTGACAGCAGTGTGAAAGACAAGCCATATTCTAGATAGTTGCACAGCTGTCATACCTTGAAAAGTGTCTTGATCAGCTCATCTGAGCAAATCAGTGGATTACAAACTGAGAAGTGTGTATGGTGCTGAATATCATCTTCAATTTGTTAATGATGATCATGACAACATCGGAATATTGCAAATTTACATCAGAATGGTCACACAGATGTCCACATAGGAACAGAAAGAACAACATAGGCAAGTTTGTCAGGACCTATTGAACGAGTACAAGGCTGGAGGTGACAGTTTCCTGGGTCACATAATTACCAATGCTGAGAAGTGGTGTCATCACTGAGTCTGAGTCAGAATGACAGTTCATGAAGTAAATTCCCCATTGAAGAAAAAGTTCAAGACATGTCCCTGAACAGGTAAAGTGATGTGCGTTGTCTTTCGGGATAGGAAAATGGATGAACTTTCTAGATTTCCTGGAGCCCAGAGAAACCATCAAGAGAAACCATCAACTCCGACTTCTGCATCACAATTCTGACTAAGCTGAAGGTTTGAACTTCCAGAGTCAGGCCAGAGAAGAAGAAACCTTTCTCTTACAACACGATAACACCAAGCCCAGTACCAGTTTGAAGACTGTGGAGCACACTGCCAATCTGGGCTAGGCTGTCGTACCACACCCACTATATATTTTGGACTTGGCATCTTCTAATTTCCATTTGTATGGGCTGATGAGAGATGGACAGCATGGATAATATTTTCCTATCTACAACACTTCGAAGCAGCTGTGAAACAACAGGTCACCTCCGCGAATGCAGATTTTATAAGTGTGGCATGCAGGCTCTTGATCATCGCTGGTGAAAATGCATAGCTATAGTAGTGACTGTGCTGAAAAATAGTATTTTATAGCTGAGGATTTGCTCTGTCAAATAGTGTTATTATGCTCTTTATGTCTGTTGTAGTTTCCATGAAAATAAACAGGTGGAATTACTTTCAGAGCGACCTACGTATTTTAATCTTCTCTCCTTGAGCAGCATCCATCTGCATAGTCCCTTTGGAAATGTGCTGCAGCAACAACAGAGTGGGATCCAAGGCTCCAGAAGGGATGTCATGTTGGTGTGAATTAAAATCTGAAAATTAAGAGGAATACCTGTCATTTTCCACCTGTCCTGTGACTTTATCATCATCTTTATTCAGTAATACGTTTTATACAGCTTTCGATTTTCAACACGATGAATGGTAGATTCTCACAAGAACCACATGAATTAGTTACAGAGATACTATTATCTCTGAGCTAGATGGAAAGAAATGATCTTATAGTGAGAGGACAGTTCTACAACCCCAGAAGATATTGCTTTGATTCAAGGATGTCTGAGACTGTGGACGAGTAATTTAATTTCCACGCTTCAGTTTCTCCATCCTATTGAAAAAGGAATCCCAATACTCATCTGCTGCAGAGGGGCATCCTGATGAGCATGGGAAGACTGTGAGGCTTTTGCAGTGAAATAAGCAAAAAACAAATAAAATGAAAATCTAATCCATGAAAAGAAATAGCAGGTGCAGAAAGGCCAAACTGTATGGAGGACTGTGAAGCAAACCATTTGCAAAGGCTGGATCAGGAAACCAGAGCTGTCATCTGCCACCCCCAGCTTGTGGCTGAAACCACCAGCTCCACACAGCCACTAGAGAACAATATATATTTTTTTCCCCACGTGTTATTTTCACAGCGTTACAGATTATACCCTACCCAGTAATAGAGCCCTCAGCCAACTGGCTTGTGACGTTTTGTAGTTGGGGATGCCACAGTTAGCAAAGTGCCATTTAGTGAAGGAATGCTACCAGTTGACCTTTCGATTGAGACATCTGTCCCAGATTGCTGCATATGCTAGTCAAAAGACACTCACATGTTTCTTTTCCTTTTTTTTCTTCTTTTTTTTCCTTATACTGGCCAGAAAATCCTGTGGCTTCTAAAAGATTAAAACACTGGGTTAAACACTTTGATGGGGTTGATTCTTGAGTTACAAAACCAGAAACAGGAAAGGCCCTAACTTTTTCTAAGAGTCAAAGAGATGGAAAAGACAGACTGATACAGAGAGGCAGCACAGGTGTTAATGCTGGCCCCCCAAAGCAGTGTCCTGAGGGATTATGGAGGCCAGCCCCTGGGTTTCAGAATTCTGCCTGTGAAGGCAGCCCTGAGGCTTTCTGCAGCAGGTTCTCCGAGTTTGGTGTTGGCTGTAGTCAAAGTCAGCGACATCCTCAGGTTCCACATGCAGCAGGCATACTCTGTTTGCAGTACATGAAACTTTTAGATGAAACTTCTTTTTTTTTTTTTTTTTTTCAAACTGCCATTTCAGGTTAGTGACCACTTCGGTTCAGCTGTACTTCCTTTTCTTTCCCTTTAAAAAGTAAAAGCATCGGGCATGTGTATCTCCTGCAGTGAGTTGAGGGTGTTAAATATTGCCTCAGCTGCAGTTTTGCCACAGTGTGGGCTGTGACAGTCCTCTGCTGCTCCAGGGCCCACAGTGGCAATGGGCACACAGTTTGCTCAGAAATTCAAGCACTGAGATGATCTCATACACTGCAATGGCAATGTAAAATCAGTGCCATCCTGATTTCACATCCAAGCTGTCTCTACAGTGACCCAAATCCAGCCACTGACTTTTTGCTGGATTCTAGGCAGGGCTTTGGGAGCACATTCTAAGCAAGGGTTGATGAAGAGACTGTAGGAATCTGTTCTGGAGGTCATAGGCAGAAACTGTTCAATCACAGCTTCCAGTCGTATTTGTGACCAAAAAAACCCCGATTTTGAATAAAAAGAGTACAAATTTTCAGTCGGGAAAAGAATAAATGTGATGTGTCTCATGTGACTGAGGGCAAAACTTGAATCCCAGAAAAAATGGTCAGTTTGCAAGCAGCTTCCAGGCTCAATTGGGAGCAGATAAATTTCCTTAGAGAAGCTATTTAAGCAGTCTTTGGTAAACAACAAACAAACACTGCTGCCTGTTTGCAGAAATGTGCCTGCATTTTCATGATTATTATTATTTTTTAAATTTATTTTTTACTGTAAATGTTCACCAGAAGGTATTCTTCCTTCATTTCCAGGTTATTTTCTTTGGAGAAAATATATGTTCTCTGTGGTCACTTCAAACGTACATCAGACCAGAGATCATTCAAATGATCTTTTAATGCTTCTAAATGAAGATATAATATGACAGCTAAGAAACTCACACGGGAAAGAAATCCATTTTTCTCTCAAAGGCTGACACACAGCTGAGACTGATTTTTCTAAGGTTTCCTCTGAACTTGTCTGAACTATTTTTTCAGACTGAAGAGTAGAACAACAGTAATAGGAATGAAGTGACATTAATAATGTAACATCAGTTCTTTTCTTCTTTCCCCTTTGCCTCAATATGCAAAGTCTGATAGTTGCTGAAATATATTCAATCCTGAGGGACAAAATGAGGACCTACAAAAAAAAGCAAGGATGGTAAGTAGCTTACTAGAAATATTGACAGCGTCTGTGAATTTCTTAAACTGTTTCATATCTCAGAGTTTTCATTTCCAAAGTGGAGACAAATTATTCACTGCATCACAGTTATTTGATTCATTGATGAGAAGATATGCAATTAAACTTATGCTAAAGCACTCCTTAGCTATAACATCTATGGTTCTTTAATTATGGGGATGGAACATGACAATCAACTACATGAGTTAATCACTGAAAATTGCTTGTCATTCCTCATCATTTGGGAGCTCAAGCTCACAGAGTGAAAACTTGTGCTCTTTACCCAGGCAGAACTCCAAGTGAGGACAAGGTGGGCTTTGCCATATGAGATCCAGTGGAAGTGAATGGGAGATTTGCCTCAGTTAGGAAATGAATGCATTTTGCCTCGGTTCAAACCTTTCACTTCCCTGCATCACTGTGCTAAGCCCAACAGTGAGACCTGGCTGCTGCAGGAGGATTTTGGAGCATGGCCATGCAAATTATCTGAACAGAATGACCGCTTGCTGTCTGACTGCTGAGCATTAAGTGTGTGTGAGTTCAGTATAAATTCAAGGTTTTGCTTCTGAAATGGCTAAGCGCAGCATCAGACAGTATAGAGGAAGTTTCCCTTTGCCACATATGCCACACACTTTCTTTTGCATCTGAGATTCTCTTTTTACAGCCCTACCCAACAGCTTTGTCAAAATGTGAGCTGATTTTGTGCCACAGGCAAATATTTATGAAGAACAGGACTGGCAACTGAAATAATTTGTTCCATTTACCTAAACAAGTTTTTGAATCTTAAATTGCCAAGAATAAAAGAGGCTCATGCAATTAAAGAAAAACAAAAACTAGGGTAAAATGAGTAGATTAGAACAGCGATAGTTATCTTACAATGGTAAGAAAAAAAAAAGACTATAAAAACCTTTTAAGCTTGGATTTTATTTTTTTTCATTAGCATTACTCACTGATGCTTTGTTCACTGCTGGCATTATTTGAATTTGCATTCTGTACTGAAATCAGCTTTTGTGTAGTTTTGTTTTGTTTCTTTCTTCATGCTCTCTAAGCAGAACATTCCAATAAGTTTGGGGTAAGTGATATCCCAATGTCCTTACAAGAAACAGGTAACAGCTTTCTTTAAAAAAGAGTGGAAGCCCAAAAAACAGAGTTCCTGAGATGAGGAGCAAAGTGTTAGTGTTCCTGAGAAGTGACATGCTGATCTGTCAACACTGGAGGGGCTATGATTCAGGTTGGTTCTCTGCTGCGGACCAAGAAAATATGGGTCATGTTTTGGGGTGAAGAATGCCAAAGCAGGGGACTTGACCCAGCAGCTGCACCACCTGCACTCTACTACTGCATGGTGACTACAGTCCAAGCAGTTTCAATCCTGCTTTCACCAATGATGTTTCTTCACACCATGAATTTGTTACCACACCAGCAACCATGAATGCGGTACTCAATGGTGAGGGCAGGAAGTGAAGACAGAAACCCAAAGGAGGAGCTGAGGCAAGGCTGGAGCTGCTGTGGAGCAGGTGATCTGGCGGACAGGTGGAGCAGCAGCATTGAGCTGACCCACCAGGCCTGGAGGAGAGGACAGGAGTAAAAGCATTGCTGGAGACAAAAGCTGCTCTTGTTTGAAGAGAGGAATAAATCCTGAATTGACACGTTACTGAAGTCAGGCTTGTGCTTAGCAAACTTGTGGGTATCTTGGCTCCTGAACATGGACCCTCCTTGGTGGTCTCAGTGTCAACGTACCAACTGAGAAGGAGGAGGGTGGTGGAGAGAGTTGGTGTGGCTGCTTCCACATTTAACCACTGAAGAGTTTGACAAAATTAATAGTGTTTTTTTTTTCTCATTTCTTCAGCAGGTTTGGAGTCAGATTATTTCCTGTCTCCTCAGAAGACAGAACAGCTGCTGTAAAAGCAAGACCATGAGGAGACACAGCAGTGTTGCTGCCAGATAAGGATAGCATGGCTGTTCATTCCCTTCTCACTCACGCAGGACAGGGCCATCATTATCTAGTTTAAAGCAAACATGACAGACACTGCTATTATCACATCAGCAGATTGTTCAGTTATTATTGTTTGTATTGCAGGAGTGCCTGGAGGCCCAGGCTGTGTTGCAACACTTATTTGCTATGTGCAGGACATACTTTCAGGAGACCGTTCCCATCTGGAATAGCTTCTTCTGCACACACTAAGTATCAGTAAGAAAAAAGGGACTAATCACACTGTACCAGAGCAAAGGAAATGCAGTTTACCCAAAGTTGTAACTGAGAAACTCTTCTACAGAGCTGTATGGGCAGCATCATTCTCAAGCCATGTGGAGAGACAGCAAAATTAATCAGCTGATGTTTTTGCATGTAGAAAGAAAAGACTGCATATGCCTGAAACAACCTGCACTAAACATGGTGATACAAGTGGCAATTCCACTTGTTCAGAAGGCAGCCTGATAATGGGAGACTTAAGAATTTTTGTACATGTCTTTGCTAATGATCCCTTTAATTACTAGCTATAAATCATATGGTATGAAAACATCACCATTCTCATTTCAAGAAGAAAGATTTTGTAATGCTTTTTCACTGTGTAATACATATGGATTTAGGGCTCTGTGGATTAAATTTGGCAATTTCAGGCATGCAAGGTTACTAATCCGTACTTTGTCTACATAAAATCGAAAGAAGAAGCAAGGCAGCCTTGTGCCCTGGGGATGGCTGGGGAATTCCACACATGCCTGTCTTCTGTAACTCTTGTCAAGGGTGAAAACATTAATGTCAGTGTTGCAATAGTTACAGGCAGACCAAAGGGGCACACTTCAAGCAAAGCAAACGTGGTTTCATTAAGTATTTCTCTGTTTTCACCTCACAGTTATTTTTTTGACACCTCTGTTCTCCCAGTTTCCTGATGTTTTAAAGTATGTATTTGTCACATTTAATTCTGTTTTCCTGTAATAGCTTCATCCGCAGAGATTTCTCTTGGAGAACGGCCCAGAGATTTTTTTGTTTCTTCTTACATTTCTATTTTCTCTGCATCTGCTGTTACATCATCTATATGGCTTATATACACATAATTTTAGTTTTTATGTCAAACTTATAATGCCACAATCAGGCTGTCTAAATGACTAAGTCCTGAGGAATTTATTTAGGCAAAATTTGCACAGAATTGTCTGTGATTTCTTTAATAAGTTGAATGCTGCAATATTTCTGGTAGGTATGCCAAAATAATATAGGTATAAGAATAGAGCATTAGTAAAAATCATTTCAGGAGCCAGTAAAGTAAATCACATTGTGCAGCTTTAACAAGGTCAATGATGAACTGGAAGGAAGCAAGGAATCTTGATTTTGGCTTCAGTTTTCAATTCTTGACCACACTTCTTTACTGTGTAATTACACTATTTACTGTTAAATTTTATTTAATATTGAACTGAGTAAATTCTATAATTACTGAATTTAATAAATTATGTAACTATTCTCCTGCATCTCATTAATAGATCCTGCAATCTTGTATCAAATACATAATTGGTGTAAGTTTCCTGTTCATATTTCAGTTTCCTTTTAAAGATCACTAGACTCCACACGAGTACATTTGTCTTTCTCTCAGCTGCTCTGCTCCCCAGCCATCACCTGTGGTTTGTGGAGCCCTCAGTCCCAGGTGGTAACCAAATTGGGATTTGGTATAATTGGGTAGCAAAGCACAGGAAGAGGCAAACACAAGAAAATTATCCAAGATTTGGAGTACTCCGCAACTGTAGCAGTTGTGCAGTTGAAGACGCTGCTATTGAGTAGGAGCTGCTCAAGGGTGAGATCCTGCAGAGCCTGAAGGTTAACTGCCCATCAGTGCTGCAAGCATTTTTCTTAAGTAGTGAACTGCTTCTGAAAAATGTTTGTTTGTGTTGTTTTGGTGTTTTTTTTTTCCTCATCTCTCCCCACTTTTCTTCCCCTCCTGTCCCCTTCTGAATCTCTCTCTCAGTGGGAATTATTTGTTTTAATTAATTCAGCAAGCTGAGAGCAGATTAAGGATACTTATGTCCCTACACCCCCAAAGTAATTGGATTAGAGGGAATTACAGATTTTGTTTTCTTGTGGAGTCTCTGCCTACCCCCCTCATTTCATCTGTGTTTAATCTAAAAAATATTTCAATTTCTTCCTCAGCTTCCTCTCATCTCTAGTTTAATTGGAGCTACTGTTAGCACACTGTGGACTTTATAAGACGATGAGTTTAGTCAGCATTCCTGTCAGACTATTTATCCTACAGAATCACAGAATCCTCAAATGCTGAGGTTGGCAGGGACCTCTGGGTCCATCAGGGCCAACCTCTTCTCCAGCAGGGCCACCCAGAGCAGCAGACGTGGGGCCACGTCCAGGTGAATTTTTGAGATCTCCAAGGAGAAGACCCCACAGCCTCTGGGCAACCTGTGCCAGTGCTCATCTGCTGAAACAATGTAGAATTGCTCCTGGTGTTCATAGACATAGAATCCGTAGAGTTGGAAGGCCATCTGAAGGCCATCTAGTCCAGCTCCCCTGCAATGAACAAGGACGTGTACAGCTAGATCAATTTGCCCAGAGCCTTATCCAGCCTCACCTTGAAAGTCTCCAAGTACATCAACCAAGGGCATCAACCACATCACTGGCAACCTGTTCCAGTGCCTCACCACCCTCTCTGCAAAATGTTTTTTCTTCAAGCTAACCTAAATCTACTCTCTTTGAGCTTGAAACCATTTTCCCTTGTTCTGTCACCGCAGACCCTGCTAAAGAGTCTGTCGCCTTCTTTCCTGTAGCTGCCCTTTAGATACTGGAAGGCTGCTCTCAGGTCACCTCAGAGTCTTCTCCAGGCTGAACAGTCCCAGCTCTCTCAGCCTGTCCTCATAGGAGGGGTGTTCCATTCCTTGAATCGTTTTTGTGTCCCTTCACTGGACACGCTCCAACATGTCTATGTCTTTCCTGTACTGAGTACTCCACATCTGGACACAGTACTCCAGGTGAGGCCTCACCAGTGCAAAGTAGAGGGGCAAGCTGTCCTTGCTTCTTTTGATGCAGCCCAGGATTCGGTTGGCTTTCTGGGCTGTAAGGGGCACATTGCTGGCTCAAGTCCAACTTCCCATTCATCAGTACCCCCAGGTCTTTTTTAGCAGGGCTGTGTTCAATCCTTTCATCCCCCAGCTTGTATTGGCAATAGGGGTTGCCTCAACCCAGGTGCAAGATCTTGCATTTGGATTTGTTGAACCTCATGAGGTTCACATGGACTCACTGCTCATCCTGCCTAGGTCCCTCTGGATGGCCTGTCCCTCTGGCGTGTCAACCACACTTCACAGCTTGGTGTCATCAGCAAACTTGCTCAGGGTGTACTTGACCCCACTGTCAATGTGTCATTGATAAAGATATTAAAGAGCATCATCCCCAGCACTGATCCCTATGGGACACCAGTTGTCACTGATCTCCATCCAGACAGAGCCATTGGCCACCACTCTCTGGATTTGATCCTGCAGACAGCTTGTCTATTGAACATCAAATCCATATCTTTCCAATTTGGGGAGGGAGATGTTGGTGGCTACTGTGTCAGAGGCCTTACTGAAGTTGAGAGAATTGACATCAGTAGTTCTTCCCTTATCAATTGATGCAGTGATACTATCACAGAATCACAGAATCACAGAATGGCTAGGGTTGGAAGGGATTTCAAGGATCATGAATCTCCAACCCCCCTGCCACATGCAGGGCCACCAACCTCCCCATTCAATACTAGACCAGGCTGCCCAGAGCTCCATCCAGTCTGGCCTTGAACACCTCCAGCAACATGGGTATCCACAGCCTCTCTGGGCAGCCTGTTCCAGCACCTCACCACTCTCTCTGTAAAGAATTTCCCCTTGACGAACAACCTAAATCTTCCCTCCCTCAACTTAAAACCATTTCCCCTTGTCCTGCTATTTATCTACCCTTGAAAAGAGTTCACTCCCCTCCTGTTTGTAGGCTGCTTTTAGGTATTGAAAGGCTGCAATGAGGTTACCCCCTAGCCTTCTTTTCTCTAGGCTGAACAAGCCCAGCTCCCTCAGCCTGTCTTTGTAGGGGAGGTACTCCAGGCCCCTGATCATCTTTGTGGTTCTCCTCTGGACCCTCTCCAACAGCTCCCTGTCTTTCTTGTACTGGGAACTCCAGACCTGGACTCAGTACTCCAGATGGGGCCTCACAAGAGCAGAGTAGAGGGGGACAATCACCTCCCTGTCCCTGCTGGTCACCCCTCTTCTGATGGAACCCAGGATACCATTTGCCTTCTGAGCTGCAAAGGCACAAGGCACACTGCTGGCTCATGTTAAGTTTTTCACCTACCAGGACCCTCAAGTCCTTCTCTGCAGGGCTGCTCTCAAGGACCACTCCTTCCAGTCTGTATGGATGCCTGGGATTCTTCTGGCCCAAGTGCAAAACTTTGCACTTTGCTGTGTTGAACCTCATCAGGTTCACCTGAGCCCACCTTTCTAGCCTCTCGAGGTCCCTCTGAATGGCATCCCTTCCTTCTACCGTGTCCACTGCACCACTCAGCTTGGTGTTGTCAGCAAACTTGCTGAGGGTGCACTTGATTCCATCATCGATGTCATTGATAAAGATGTTAGAGAGCACTGGTCCCAAGACAGACCCCTGGGGGATGCTACTCGTTACCAGCCTTCACCTGGACATGGAGCCATTGATGACCACCCTCTGTCTGTGACCTCTCAACCAGTTTCTTATCCTTTGAGTGGTCCACCCATCAAATCCACATCCCTCCAATTTGGAGATAAGGATGTGGTGGGGGACCATGTCAAAGGCCTTGCTCAAGTCCAGGTAAATGACATCGGTCATCTTCCCCTTGTTCACCAATGCCATCAGTCCATCATAGAAGGCCACCAGATTGGTCAAACATGACCTTCCCCTGGTGAAGCCGTGCTGGCTGTCTTGGATCACACGCTCATTCCTCATGTGATCAAGCATGTGGTCCAGGATGATCTGTTCCATGATCTTCCCAAGCACAGAGGTGAGACTCACCAGCCTGTAGTTCCTGGGTCCTCCTTTTTCCCTTTCTTGTAAAGAGGAGTGACGCGACCCTTCCTCCAGACATCTGAGACCTCACTTGACAGCCACAACTTTTCAAATATGATGAACGGCAGCTTGGCAACCACCTCAGCCAGCTCCTCCAGAACCCTGGAATGCACGCCATCCAGCCCCATAGACTTGTACACATTCATTCTCATGCGGCAGTCTTGGGCTTGCTCTGTTCTCACAGTGGGGGGGGATTTACCACCCCAGTCCACACCTAGAGGTTTAGGGATGCAGGGCTCAGGGACGTGAGAAGTACTGGAATCCTGGCCGCCAGTGTAGACCGAGGCAAAGAACTCATTCAGTACCTCAGCCTTCTCTTCGTCTGATGAAGCCAGTTCTCCTTTTACATTTACCAAAGGAGGTACATTCACTTTGCCCTGTCTCTTCTGGCCAATGTACCTGTAGAAAGTCTTCCTATTGTTTTTCATGTACCACACCAAGTTCAGTTCTGCCTGCACCTTGGCTTTCCTGATCCAACGTCTGTGAGTCCAGACGGCATCCCTGTATTCTTCCCAGGTGACATGCCCTTGTTTGCAGAGCTTGTACGCACCTTTCTTCGCTCTCTGCACACCCAGCAGGTTCTTATCGAGCATGCTGGCTTCCTACCTTCTCTTCCCACTTTCTTATTCAGAGGGATGGAGAACTGTTGTGCTCTCAAGAAGGCATCCTTGAAGAGCAGCCAGCTCTCCTCAACATCTTTGTTTTTAAAGACAGCATCCCATGGGATCTCAGCCAGCCACTCCATTGAACGGCTTAAAGTTCACTCTTCCAAAGTTCGGGGTCCTGATGCCACTCTTTGCCAGGCCAGATCCCTCGAGATCATGAACTCAACCATGGTGTGGTCACTGCAGCCCAGGCTGCCTCCAACCTTAACACCTTTGGTGATTTCCTCCGCATTGGTGAGCGGCAGGTCCAACAACACTTCACCTCTGGTCAGTCTGTCCAATACCTGGACAGAAAGTTATCATCAACGCATTCCAGGAGCCTCCTGGTCTTAGCTCCATGCCTTCCATATGCCTTAGTATAGATTCTGGAGGATCTGTTCCATGATCTTCCCTGGCACAGGGATGAGACTTACAAGTTGGTAGTTCCCAGGGTCATCCTTTTTACCATTTTTAAAAATGAGTATGATGTTATCTTTTTTCCAGTCACCAAGGACTTCACCTGATTGCCACAACTTTTCAAATATCGTGGAGAGTGGCTTCACAACTTTATCAGCCAATTCCCTCAGGACTCTGGAATGCATCTCAT